AGAGTGCTTTGGGGAATGCTGCTTATTTGAAAGAGATGATCTGAGGGAAATCGATTAAAAAATGCCACATGCAGTATCTTCGAGCCCTTGAAGATCTCTGAGGCACAGTAGTGTGCTAAGCTCACGAAAGTCCTTCACTGAAGCAACCCATTTAGTGGTGCAGTGTGGTTCAAGCTTATTTCACCTTGAAATGTTTATTGTTTTCATAGCACCTATTAAAACCCGATGAAACGCACTGGAAAAGCTGGACAGCATTTGGGGAGAAAGCTTGGTGGTCTAAGCACCTGCCTGGCAAGCAAAAGGACCTGGGTTCAATCCCTGGTACTGGATGCCATGCCAACCCTGGAATTGCAGGTGTGCTGTGCCTGCTGTCCGAAACAGGACGTGGTGGTACATGCCTCTAATCCCAGCACTGGGGAGGCTGAGACATGAGGATCACTACGAGTCCAAGTTTTGTATTGAGACCTTGTACTAAATAAATACATAGATTTTTTTAAAACATTTTTTTAAAGCTGGACAGCCAGTCCCCCAGAGAAAACCTGATGAGCACAGAGAGCATCCGTGTCTCCTCTCCCCATTCCCAAGGTGCACTGCTGTGGTGGTGAATTCAGGCATCTTGGAACAGGCAGGACTGCTGTGGCTGGGGGCCTCAGACCTCATCATCATGGACCATGCAGCCATTCCTTCCCACTAAGACCTAAAATACTTGTCCAGAAGCACAGCTGTGGCTGCTCCTGAGACAGACTCTGTGACCAGCCTCTCCAAAAAAGCAGCTCAAGCTAGATCAACAAGGCTGTGAGATCCTACCAACTCCTCAGAACCACTTGTGTCCTGCCCCATAGGGGCTGCTGGTCTTACTTATTCTCGGAGGAAGATGTGGATACTGCTCAGGACCAGAAGTTCCCAGTCACCACCCCTAGGTTTGCCTGCAATACTTAAGTGGGCTGCATTTGCCCCAGCAGTAGGGGCACTTTGAAAGAAGTCCAGAGGCTTCAGAAGAGTCCATAGTGGAACCCCCCCCCAAGGGGGCATCAGGCTGTGAGTGCTGGGGCTGCTCTAATGATACAGCCGTGATCTCTGAATGTGCAGCCTGGCCAGGTTGCTTCCCACAAGGCCAGATACAGCACTGGTCAAAACATGTCTTGGAATCTCACTGCCACATGGAGTATAGTCTAGAAATTACAGGCCTTCCCAGTAATTAGCCTCGAGCCCAGGAAGAAGCCCCATAATTTATGGCTTATGTGTACTCCAAGCCAGAGTCTTGATTGTGTTCTGCTGACTCTCCTTTCTGTGCATGCACCTGCCATTGTCAGTAGCTACCTGTGGATTGTCTATAGAAGATGCAGTTTGGTGCCTGGGGTCCAAGACCCTCATAGGCAACTTACTGGTTCTGTTTACCACTCTGAGCTATAGAAAATACAGGGAATAACATTAAAATGTTTTATGAATCACAGAGTACAGCTCAAGCTCCAGTTTTTAGGTCTCTATTATACTGTAAGCTCCTTAGGAAAAGGTGGGCTTCTATATGAGACTGGATGTGACATAGGTTCCAGCTCTGTGACAAGCGCTAGCCCCACCTGGGGACTCACTTGGACTTGCTTGCTGTGCAGTGTGGTTTAGAGCAGAGGTTCCAACTTCCATGCATCAGAATCCCTGGGTAGCTTTTTACTTTTCAGATTCAAAGTCTAAGTAGAGTGGGTCTGAGTCTGGATCAGAAAGATGTTTTAAAAGCTTACTGTGTGCTTGTGAACTGCGGAACAGACAAGGGAGCCTGGCTCATGACCGCAGTCAGTGGGGAGGACACTATTCAGAGTCTGTAACCTCTTAGCACATAGGGACGGTGAGGGTGGGGCTTGTTCCCCTAAAGACCATGGCAGCAACAGTCAGCTCCCTGCTGCCAGTGAGCCAGGAACCGTAAGGGCATGCGGAAAGCTCTGGGCTGTGCGGAGAAGTGAAGAGTTTGTGAGCCTCTCGGTGCTCAGCAAGTTAGACGGGAGGTCATGGCTGGTAGACTGTCTCAGCTTTGCTGAGGGAGCCACCACCCCTTGGCTAATGCAGCATGTCCCTCTGTCTCACTCTAGATTGTGTTCCGGAAGATCAGTGATGTGAAGCGGGAAGAGGAAGAGCGCATGAAGCGGAAGAACGAGGCGCCCCTGATCTTACCTCCTGACCATCCGGTCAGACGACTCTTCCAGAGGTTCCGGCAGCAAAAAGAGGCCAGGCTGGCAGCAGAGAGAGGTGGCCGGGACCTGGATGACCTAGATGTGGAGAAGGGCAGCGCCCTCACTGAGCACAGTACCACCAACCATAGCCTCGTGAAAGCCAGCGTGGTCACAGTCCGGGAGAGCCCTGCCACACCCGTGTCCCTGCAGGCAGCCTCAGCCTCTACAGTGTCAGACCATGCCAAGCTGCATGCACCCAGCTCTGAGTGCCTGGGCCCCAAGGGTGGTGGTGGTGACTGTGCGAAGCGCAAAGGCTGGGCCCGCTTCAAGGATGCTTGCGGGAAGGGTGAGGACTGGAACAAGGTGTCCAAGGCTGAGTCCATGGAGACACTGCCAGAGAGGACCAAGGCGACAGGTGAGGCCACACTGAAGAAAACAGACTCCTGTGACAGTGGCATCACCAAGAGTGACCTGCGCCTGGACAATGTGGGTGAGGCCAGGAGTCCCCAGGACCGGAGCCCCATCTTGGCTGAGATGAAGCATTCCTTTTACCCCATCCCAGAGCAGACACTGCAGGCCACCGTCCTGGAGGTGAAGCATGAGCTGAAGGAGGACATCAAGGCCTTGAACGCCAAGATGGCCAGCATTGAGAGCCAGCTCTCAGAGATACTCAGGATATTAACTGCCAGAAGATCCTCTCAGTCTCCTCAGGAGCTGTTTGAAATATCGGGGCCCCAATCCCCAGAATCAGACAGAGACATTTTTGGAACCAGTTGAGAGGTTTGCTTTATAAAATAGTAAAGGAAAGTTTGCACCCCGCCCCTGACAACACCCTGCGCACATACACCCATGCCACCAGTGCTGTCCAAAGTCTCTCCAGACAGAAAATCAGCGCGGCTCAGCAGGACGAAGGCGGGGAGGCGCCACTGCCTGTCAGACCGCAGCTGTGTCACAACTGCCTTTGCACAGTTCTGCAGGAAGGGCGTGCTGTCCAAAGGGTGTTTTCCTTCATTTTAAATGTTGTACTGCCACACCATTTATCGAAGGTTAAAACTTCCAGGAAGAGCAGTAGCTGTCTGGGACTGACAGGAAAGTGCCGAGCACCCCTCATGTATATACCATGCTGGGCTCCTTGCCGAGGTCCCCAGAGACCACCGTGGGCATAGAGACTCCCCAGCATTCCTCACCCTTGTACAGCTCATCTTAGCTTCACCATCTATTTCTCTACAGTTGCCATTTGTAACAAGCTCGGGACAAGGGAAGCTTGAGCCGCAGGGAGAGGAGGGTCCTTTAGCTTTCTGTCCCTGATAGTGAAGGCAGACAGCAGGTGCTGTGTGCCCCTCACTCACCCTCGATGCATGCAGCTGGGATCCTTCGGTCTCTTTGCCCTGAAGCAAGGCAAGGGCGAGGCCTGGAGAGGGCCCTGGCTCCAGGAGCTCAGCTGGGCTTTGCAGCCTCCTACAGGATGCTCGTCCAGGTGGCCCTGCAGCCTGCTCCAGCACAGGCTGCCCTGCTCTTCTCCCTCTGGCTCTTCCCAAGTGTTCCCGTGGCGTTCCTCAGGGAATGGGACATCAGCAGGAAGGGGCATGAGCCCAAAGTTGCTTTACTCACACACACACACACACACACACACACACACACACATAGAGACACACACACACACACACAACCTCAGAAAAATGATTGTAGCAAGTGCTGTTTGTATTCTGATTCTCATAGGGATCGCCTTCAGAAATTTGTATTTTGCCTACTGCATAGGGTCATTATAGGATGCTTGGGAGCCATGCATAGCCTTGTTGGAAAGACAACCTTTCTGTTTCCTACTAAGAAAAGTGGCAGGTTCATGACTGCGATGTCTTCAGGAGCTAGAATAAAAAGAAAAAGATGAAGCCGCAGGTTTTTAAGCTGTTTCTACAAGAAGATGGAGAAGACAGGCCAAAGAGCTGCAGCCGTGAAGAAGGTTGGAGCCCAGCGCCAGGGTGCTCAGGACATACATGGCTTTGCCACTGGGGCTGGGCCTGGGCTTCAGTGGTGTCAGAGAAAGGAGGGCAGAGTGTCTCTTCCAGCCAAGTGGAACTGGCCTCGGTACACGCCATGGTGAGCGGAGTCAGGACCCAGTGCTGCCCAGCAGGGCCAGAAACTCTAAGAGCACGGAACTGGGCACACAGGCGACAGCAAGGCCTGGTCCACCCTGCGGACCTGTGGCTGTGCTGCGCTGTGGTGATTCTGTCCCCAGCACTTCTGCCTGGCATCACTTTGCTGTCAAAATTCTGAAAGCTAATGTCCTTAGGGAACAAGACAGATCAAGATCTGGACCACCAAAGATTCTGTGTTCCTTGAAGCCACTCCTCCTTTCAACTCACCTGATCCTCAGTGGTGTCGAGGTGACACAGATGGCCCCGTGAGGCAGAAGGAGTCACACGTGTGACTTTCAGTGTGAAGCCTGTGGAGGGCCAGTGGCATCCTCAGACTATGTTGTTATTTGCCTTTGCCTTGGCTGGCAGCCCACAGGAAACAGAAGTGCCATTTACCAGGCTGAGTCCCGTCTGATCCTAGAATGTCTCGAGTCCCACCTGACGCTGCCCCCCAGGCATTCCAGTGTGCCGTTCTTCAAGCATACTTGTTAACCTGCTGCCTGGGACCTGCTCCTCTTAAGGCAGTCTGGGGTCCCTTAGAACCCCAAGGCCAGCTGCAGGGCCTTCTGTCCTTGGACTTCCCACTGGCTCTCTGGAGACCTGATGGGAGGCCCCACTCAGCCTCTGCCCCTTCTAGCTCTGCACCAAGTCTGTTCAACAGTCACAACCTGGGATTTGACAGGCAAGGAAGCTGTGGAGCCTCAAAGCCCAGACTCATTGTAGGGAGAGATGGAATTTCAGGCAGCATTCAGGAGAACCACTTGGTGAAGGCTGGAGTCCCGGCCTTGCTTTGAGAACCTACTCTTCTTGGGCTGTGGAGCCTGCATGTGATTCCCTGTAGGTGACAGCCAAGAGCAGCACAGATGTGGCTGCATCTGCTTTTATTCTTCTCCATTTAATCATTTTCAGGAGTTTTTGGTAAAATGGTTGTCTGAAAAAACTTTTTTAAAATGAGCTGAACCTCTTTTCCTTCCCTTTCTATGACATGCACTTGGGCGCAGGCTGCTTTGTGCTACCTACCTACCCTTGCTAGCTCTGACCCTGGGCACCTGCACAAGGACACGGCCCTCAGGTACCACTGACTGACTCCTTCAGTATATATTTGGTGGCTGAAGAGAAATTAGAGAAGTTCACTGAGTATTAGACTGAATTACAGACTTCAGAAAAATTATGTGACGAGGTAGAGATCTCTTTGAGGTTTTGTGTCTTTTTTACAGATATGTTGCCCCTTTTCCCAGTAAGAGCTGGTTACCTGATCTCCACTGAACTCCTTATTTTTGAACATGATTCAGGGAAGCTCCATTTCCTACATATCTTGACAGGCTGCTTAGAGGTGGGGAGGTCCTGCCCCTGCCACCTGGCTGCCCATGGAACACTCTCTTCCTTACGATGGCATGAGGGTTGAGGCTGCAAAATAAGGAGCCTCATTCTTGGTGGGGGGCACCAACTCCAGCAGGGTGAGGGGCCATCCCACCACCCATGAAGGCTGCCCCCCAGGGGGTGACATGATGGTCCAAGGGAGGTGGCAGCAGCCACCGGGCAGTTAAGCTGTGGTTTTGCACACAGCTAACACAGCTACTTCATCACAGTACTCTGTGATACTAATGAGGCTCTGGTGTGGCCCGGATGTTTAAAACCTGGGCCCACTTTGGCAGCCTTCCAGCCAACTTTTAGAAATACATTTCTCGCTAGCTGATTCCTATGGCCTCTGTTACTCTAGGCCTCTTGTAGCCTCTGTGCTGCCACTGGTCACATGTCAATCCCTTTCTGGAAGCTTTCTCCTTCAGAAGCCAGGCTACCTAGTCAAGGGCCAAAGACACTGAGTCACCCTACCCCAACCAGCAATCTTGATTTTCCACATCGGGTGGGAAATGAAAGTATGAACCTACCACCCAAATTGTTCAAGTCTGTGAGAACGAAAAGAACTCCAAAACATTAGAGGAAGATCCCTTTTTTCCCTGGTTGCACTGACCCCCGTGTCATCTGTACACTCTGGGCCACTTTTAGGAGCTCCGGTGGAGATACAGGTTGCTGATGCACATCTGATTAACAGAGTGTACTATGTCTGCGGGAAAGATGTTTAGCCTTAAGACCCCTGAATGGACCCCAGCTGTGAGGGAGCTGCACCATTCCTCCCCTCCTCACAGACCCTGGCTTCATGAGGAGGTCCCTGGGGGTCACCGCAGCCCCAGACGGCCTCTCCTGTGCCACTGAGTCTCTGTCGCTGCTTCCTGCACTGCCTTCTCACTTGCTTCTCTAAAAGTGACCTCCACCCCTCTTGTGCCCTCCACCTGGAGACCTTGGTCTCCTCAGCATTGACTGCAAGCATTGGAGAAAGGACTCCTTTCTCCCCAAAGGCACCGGTGTTGAGAACTTACAGTTTCCACACCCCACTGTTCAAAGGAATCGATGTGAATTACCTGCAGCCTAAATTAGTTTCAAATGATCCATTCTCATGCAAGCATATCAGGCTTCTGCAATCTCTAACACTGGACTTGAATACCTTGCAAGTGCCAGGCCTGGTGTTGCCCTCTCTGCCTGCCATTTGACTTTATTAGAGCCACTCTCGCTTCACCTGTGACTTCTGCGTCATCTGACGGAGCCACTGGCTGTTTAATAAGAAGCTCAAGCTTTTGTATGAGGAGACAAGCTGCACTGATGTCAAGGACGGGCTGCCGATGCACAGGTTCTCTTAATATTCAGATCCTGTTTCTGTGCATCCCTTGCAGACAGTCCACCCCCAGCATTCTGTTGTGTGGAACTTCTGCCCATGAGCAGTTCAGCATTCTGGGCCTTCTCTTATAGGAACAGTCTTTCCATTAAGTCCTGCCAAACCCTTTATTGAGTTTTCCTTTGCATCCACCACTTTGTCCAAATGAGCATGAATAAACCGAAGTGCAAATGAGATGATACTATTTTTGTGGTCAGTGGAGGCTGATGACAGGAACTTCATCATAGTCTGCGGCTGGGATGTGAACAGGACCCTTAGGGCCCTTCCATCAATGATACTACTCCCTTCTCAACATTTTTAAACAAGCACAAATGATATTTGTAAAAAAAAGTTTATTTATTATGGTAATAAACTATTTTATACATGATGCTTGCCTTTGTCTTTCCTGTAGGATGGCGGCACATTGGGTGTTCTGGCCTAAGACAGAGCGAGGGTGGTATCTTCTATTCTTTTTTGAGATTTGGGAAGCTCAACTTGAAATAGCACCTATATTGTAGTTTTTGGAGAACTTAAAATTCTAAAGACATCAAGATTATGTGTTAAAGTACTGCCTAGTATACACAGACTGCTTTTAAAATCTGCGGCTCAGTCTGATTTCTGGTGCCCTTACAGAACCCAAGGTGGGCCATTTGTAAAGCACAAAAGCAGACTTAGGTTCCAGAAGCTGGGAAGTCGCTGACAGGGCAGCCACTGCTTGTGAGGGCCCGGAGCTGCTCTGCTATGTGGGGGCTGCAGAAGCAGCAGGCACCTGCTGAGGAGACAGGCTGTGACGGGCTGTACGGTGACTCCCCCACGAAGACTCAGTCCTACAAGCGAGGCTTGAGTCCCTCTTGGCAAGCTCATCTTCTGGAGACGCTCTGCCTCCCAGCATCTCCACAATGACTATCAGATCCTAACAAGAGCTTGGTAGGGGACAAATGATGTCCAAACCCTAGCCGTGTGGCATCACTGCAAATTTCCAGGACATATTGATTTAACACTTATCAAAGTTTATCTCCCTGCCTTTTAGCACTGAGTAGGGAGAACATACTGCAGCCTCACTGCCTGACTCGGTGTCAGTGATATTAGCTCCGACCCTTGCTTGACTTCATTGATGTTCTTAGGAGTTCCTAAGGCAGAGGGCTGCTTGCCCTGAACTAAGCAGTCTTACCATCAGCATGGCTTCAGGTGTGTTGTGATTTTCACTGGGACTGCTTCTTGCTTATGGCAAGACTCCACAACCCTGCCAACCTGAGTTCTCGTTTAATACCCAGTGGGCCACATGTCAAAAGTGGTGTTGCTCCTTTTGCACAGTAACTCCATTTAGGGATGAGGAATCTGTGACATGCTGTACAAGCCAAACTCAGACCTGTGTTCCTCATCTCCTCCCTATGAGGGGCTGCAGTGTGAAGCTCTACTGCCTTGCCAGAGCCCACACCACAGGCCACAGGAAAGGGGTCACCAACATATCACTAAAATGTCTCAGAAACAATGCTCTGAGGAGGATAGGTCTATCACCAACCAGGATTCCAGTGCCCCATCTCCTAATGTCACAGTGTGAATGCAGACCTTCCTAATAACACCCTGCCCCTTATTTACACTGCAGAAAAGCACAAGACACAAAATTTAAGGGTGATGTTATTTCAAATTCCAAATGAGGGTTTCTCTTTGTTTTAAAATATTTCCCAGAGAGAAGACTTGAGAGAGTTCAGAACACACTGAGAAGGGCAATGCCATGGAGATCATTAGGCTTCTCACACTGACTCCTCAGACTCCCTGTCAGACATGTCCTGGCATGCCTGCTAAAAGCAAAGCTCACTAGATTATGGTTAATCTGATAGCTAGTCGAAAGTTATATCATTATTTCATATAAGCAAAGTACAAAGTTTCAGTTTCTCTCACAGGAAAGTCCCATACCTACCAAACTGTTAGTCTCCTAATCAGGGACCAGGATGTGCCTCTGTGATACATTTTCTTTCTAGGCCTGTAGCTTTCACAAAACCGAAGACTTTCTGCTGTCACCTCACATACATTAATCTGTAAACAATGCTTTTTAAGTCTTCTTACAATGGTTCCAAGATTTGACCACAGTGACCAAGGGCTTGCTGACCTCTCAGATGCCATGCCTGAACCCCTGGGTTGGCCCACACAGCCAGGGTCAGAAGGTCCTGGCACTGGTGGGGACCATGGACTTTGTTTAGTTTCTTCCCAGCTGAAGTTGCCCAGGGCTGAGGACAGTGAAGGTGCTCCTCACAGAACCATTCTGAATTCTCAGGGTCCTTATCAGTCCTTTGGTGAATACAATTCTAGGATTATAGTTTATATGCATGTGGAGATAAGTATTGTCAGAACAGAACAATAAGAGATTAAAGAAAACAATGAGTTTGTGTAATCCACACATGGATTATTTCAGCCTCAAATAGAGAGCTAAATACAGTAATCCCTTACTAATTTCTAAGAACAACTCTGAATGATTTAGTTTAAAAGAAATTGAGGGTTATTACTTTCAAATACATCTACTGACTCACGCAACACAGTTCAATGAATGAATAAATTTGTTTTATATAAATGTTCTCTTTGGAGGAGCTCAAAATCTTTTGTATTATTTATATACATAATACATTACACCCATCCCTATAATCACTTCAGTACTCCTTTTTATCTTAGCAAGTGATTTCTTTCCAAGTAGATTTCTGCTGAACTCCCTCTGGCTGGCCCCCAAGTCCTAAGTGCTACCCCATAAAGTTCTACTGCATTCATTTGAGGGCTTTCTCCTTCCCGAGGCCCATCTGTCCTTAAAACTTCCTAGGACCCCACAATTTCCTGCTCGTGTCCCTTACTTTTCCATGGCAGCTTCTGAGGCTACTTGCTCTTCTCTGGCTTCCCTTTACTTCGGCCAATGGCATGTACCAAAGCCAGGAGTCTGACATCTATTCCCTCCCATCTGTCTCCCAAGAAGAGCACCTAGGGGGGCCGGGGAGATGGCTCAGTGGAATAAGCACTTCCCTGGCAAGCGCAAGGGCCTGAGTTCAATCCCTGGTTCTGCAAAAAAACAAAAAACAAGAAGAGCACCAAAGAATAAATGGAGTCAACAAAAATGACTGGTCCTGGACTCAAGGAATTTGACTTACAGCCAAGACCCCAGGACAATAAGGAACAAATAAAAACAGCCCAAGGTCCATGTGAGCTTGCCACTTGGTGAAAATGCATGTACCTGGAATGTTACAGAAAAATTTATCAAAATTAAATACACAGTGGATTCAAATTTTAAAGCTTCCACCTTCCTCCCAAAAATCTAAAGCCAAACAAAATATTCTAAATCATCTGCTCTTGGGGCCATTGGCAGATTCTCTGGATCCTTCTGGAGGAATGAGTCGAGGTAAGCAAGTGTACTTACAGTTTAAACATTTGCTTCAAACTATCAGAGTAAATTTAGAAAGATAGGAATTTTTGAAGTAATAAAAAGGCTCCAACTTGACTCAAAATCCACAAAGCATAAATCTCAGAGCAGGAATAGGACTGTTGTGACTCCAGGGAGAGGGCAGAGCAGAGAGCAGACCCTCATGTTGGCCTTCTGGGACTTACTGATAGCACCTGTCTGGATACACTCCTCCTCTGACTTTGGAAGTCTGCTTCCTAACTGGGAAATATTAACTGTCAGAGGAACTTCCATGTTCATACAGCTCTGCAAATCTCAGAAACAAGAAGCCAAATGAACTTTGAAAGTCACAGACTCCTTCGATATGGACTCCTTAGTATGCCACGGGATTGAGTCTCCAGTGTGCCGTCATCTTCCTACTGAGGAGCTGCAGGGTGAAGTTCTACTGCTGTGCTAGAGCCCACACCACGGGCCACAGGAAAGGAGTCACCAACATATCACCAAAATGTCTCAGAAACAATGCTCCAAGGAGGATGGTCTACTACCAACCAGGATTCCAATGCTCGACCAAGAAATATGCACTACATTTATCTCTTGGTAAAGAAAAACAAATACAAAGGGCCAGGGGACTGGGTTCTATACCAACATGTCACCATGTTTATCTGAGTAAGACCTTTATTGGCCGGCATCCCAGCTTACTCAGGAAAGTAAGATTTGGGTAGAAAATGCCTAGGACCCCAAAGTCTAAAGATTATCTAGTTATAGATTATCTAATGAGAGATCAAATGCCAGTCTTGGAATGAGGTATCTTCAACAGATGATGACCAGAAGATAACTCCTTGGAGACCACCTTTGAGTGGAAGATCATGGTGGCATATATTTGCCTTGGATGCTGGTGGTGAAGGCAGAGTCAGTTGACGGTGTAGGTCTGGGCCCAGGCAATGCCCACGTGGGAGTAACAGTACAGGAATCCCAAGACAGAGAGGGTCACCCATGGCCAGCCTGTAGGGGAGATGGAGAAGCAGAGTGGTTAGACATTCCCTGGGGCAGGACCTCCTACATGAACAGACAGTTCCCTGTGGAGAGGGCAACACAGAAGAAACAGCCTCAGTTTATACAAAATATGTGCCCCTGGTAGTTGGCTCCAACTGGAACCCCAACAAATGGTGTCCTACATTTCCACTGGGGCCAGCTAAGAGGAGCTCTGTGTGATGGCAAGTGCAAACACACAGAGGGCAAACCCTTAAGGGACACGTGTCTAGAAGACCAAATAATTTTAAAAAGAAAGTCCCTGAATCCCATGAGCAATATATTAAAGTAAGTGTCATTTATAAGCCCACCGAAAAGGGGACTTCAGATTCTATATTAGTTTTCAATATGCAAAGCTCTTAGTGATTCTTTTGTCTTGGAATATCAGTTCTTTTCTTTCTTTTTAAAAAAAAATTATTATTTTTTTAAAATTAATCTCTTGGGCTGGAGCGATAGCTTGCAGTCTAAGTGCCTATTTGGCAAGCACAAGGACCCAGGTTCGATCCCCAGTACCACATGCCATGCCAGCCCTGGAACCACAGGTGTGCCGTGCCAGCCACGGAAACTGGGCGTGGTGGTGCACACCTGTAATCCCAGCCCTGGCGAGGCTGAGACAGGAGGATCACTATGAGCCTGAGTTGCATAGAGACCCTGTATTAAACAACAAACAAATACATACATACATACACACAGAAACAAGAAGCCAAATGAACTTTGAAAGTCACAGACTCCTTCGATATGGACTCCTTAGTATACATACATACATACATACATACATACATACATACATATTTTAAAAATGTTTTTAAAAATTAATCTCTCTTTCTGCTATTTGTTATTAATGATCTCTGGGTCTTCTACATATTTCATTCCTTCAAACTTTTGTTTTGGTGGCTTTCGAGATTGAGGTGCCATAGAAGGCAGAAAAAAATTTCTAAGACTTAGTCCTGTGTTGACAGTGCTCTGACTCAATCCTGGGAAAGACTGACACAAGTGGCAGGATCTGGGACTGCGTAGCACATGCTAGAGTACAGCATATGGAGCACATTTAAATTGAGCCATATAAGGAAAATAACTGTCAGACAGGAAGGGCTGGGCCACAAGCTGCCAGGGGGACCACTTTTAAGTGAACATCTGAACTTCGCAGGTCATCTGAGGAACAGTGACTGCACCACACAGGCAGGGGCTAGAGAGCTGGGTAGAAGGTAGGAGCAGCAAGCAGGCTACAGGAAGCCCCAGTAGTTCTTAGGGTCCTAGAGGCTCTTTTCTGGCTATGTCAACCACCAGCTCCAGTGACCATTGTTAAAAGGTAGGTAGGCCACAGTATTGTCATGGCCAAGTGTGCAGCCTCTCACACAGAGGAGACCTAAGTTCAAACCCTGGGTCTGCCACTTACCAGCTGTGTGACCCTGAGTAACTTAAAGAATTTCAAACAAAGCTAGGGCAAGAACACCTTTGTCACTAATGTCCTTACAAAAAAGGAGGGAAATGATAGAAAGACATGCATGGCGCTGGCATGTGATGGGTGTTCATAGCAGGGCGGACGCTGAAGTTTGTCCGGTGGGATCTGAATGGCATGAGGGCTCCACCCTGTGCCTTCTCGGGCTCCTGTTTTGTCCACTCTGGCCTTCTCAGAGCTCTGCAGGGCCCTGGTGCTCTGGCTTCTGACCAAGCCGCCCTCACGCTAGAAAGGGGGACCCAGGGAGGGTCCCTCTCACTTCTCCAGCGTTGTCTGAGCAGCATCCCTCCCACGACTGCCTCCCATTCACACAGTTGCTCTGCTCCTCCTCTTACACAGATCCCAGTCATGATCTTAAATCCAGAGCAACCGCTATCACATGCCACAATGCATTCCATCTGCAGACCATGTGAGGAGCTACATCCACATGAAGTCCATTCTGCCGATCCTGGCAAGCAGGAGCTGTCAGGGGCCGCCACTCAGCCCAGGACAGCCAGCTACTTCTCTGAGCTTCAAGACGCTCCCCTGGCCCTGTGCCCTCACTCTCCCCACCGTGGCTCAGACACAGGTGCTGTGGGCAGTCAACACCTGTTCCTCAGCAGGCGCACAGAGCAGGATGGGAAGGGCTTAGGCCCAGGAGGCACTCTGGACAACAGCTGTGTTTAGGGTGAGGCATCAGCAGGTGTTTGGCAAACACAGACCCCAAAGGCCAGCTGCAGAGGTCAGCAAGTGGGGATATTTCACTTACACAAAGCTGGGCCTGGGGCTCCTCTGGGGCTGGGCCGTGGCTCTAAGAGCCCTCTCATGGAAGCTTCAGAACCACAGGAGCAGCAGCTCTAGGGCCACAGACGCAGGATACACATGTTCTAGTGTGGGTCTGCTCGCGGTCCTGCAGCTCTCCTTCTACCTACTGCTTAGAGAAGAGCCGCAGCAGCAGGGAGGAGACTTGGAATACAGGCTGTGCACCCGGAGAGCTCATGGAGCCTTAGTTTCCTCATCTATAGAGCAGGATCTCAAAATCGTTTTTAAAAGTGTGCAAATAATATGATCACAGACTTGGTAATGCTTTTAAAAAGTATTTCAAAGATGCAGCGGGCTAATAAGGGGCCACCTGATACCTCTGTCACTTACACACTGGCCCTTTCAAATGCACAAGTATTCCAGCAGCCGATACTCATGGTGCGTATCAAGTGGCTGTCAAGGCCTCCTTATCCTTTTCTGACCCCAGGAGAAAAGTACACAGTGACGAGGAAGGGATGCTTCTGCAAGCTACCTCTGCATCACTGGACCAAACTCTGTACCACTAGACGTGCCCGGCCCTGGCCTAGACTGTCGCAGCACCTGTGCCTTGGTCACTTGTAGGCACAGGGTCTGCTGGAGGCAGCTGCTAAGCATGTACTCCTGTGGCCGTGGGTGGAAGTGGGCTTAGGGTGGAGCTTCCACTTCATTAAGCTCACAGGCAGCCAGGACCCGAATGGCACAAAGCAGAGAGATGGGGACTGCATCCCAGCCACCATCTGCAGGGACGCGGCACTCCAGCCTGGCAGTCAGCATAGAGCTGGTGTCAACGACTCTGTCTGTAGTCCTCTCCCTGGCCTCTCCCCAGCCTTATTCTTCCATGACCTCTCTTCTCACCCAGCTTCCTGCTTCTTCAGCCCTAAATCTTTTACACTCCTCTAGGTTCTATTACCATGTAATAGACTTTCAAACTCGGAACCTGTCTCAGTGCCTCAGATGCTAGGATCACAGGCATGTACTATAATATCTTGCCCTAACAAGACCTAAATGGTTAAAAAATATATATATTAAAAATAATTTTTAATTTAAAATGTTTTACTTAATTGCTTTAAAAAAACTACATCGAAATAATCTTTACATACAATTAAAAGGGTGTTACTTCTTCAAAAGTCTTTTGCAATTCTGATAAGATGAACATGATATACCTAGATGTTCTCACAATACAGAAATGTTAAAAACTAAAGACTTCCAACCCTTCGTAAAACCAGGCATCCACTGCAGCACCTGAAGAGGTATATGTGCCAAGAATTGTGACTTTAGCGCAGCAGAGAGCTGGGAGAACCATTGCTCCCCAGATCACAGGGAGATGTGGTTTTTGCTTCAAAAAAACAGGATTAATAGTGGTTTAGCTATAATGGGAGTTTCTCCTCCCATGAGCTCCGTTGTTGTGGAAAAACATCATCCAGTCATGGTAAAGAATTTTCGCAGATCACTGCTAGGCAGCACTGAAGATACAGGAAATGAGCTGGCGGAAAGTCAGACCAGAGCAGCAGAACACTGGTCACATACATCATTAGCAGGGCAGGCTGTTCTCTGCTATGCTCAGTGCACACACACAGGATGTACAGCACAACCGATTCAATGATGAAGACTGTGGTGGCAACATAACGGGGGAGTCTACACGACGTAGACAGTTGTACTGCTAACAGGGTGCTGGTGAACTGCATAATAACTGCAGCTAGTAAGACAGAGGGGGGACACAGCAAGGGCTAGTGTGGTTTTATTTGAGATTATCAGGGCTGAGCAAGTCTCCCATAATTAGATTAGACTGAAAGACCAGAAAGGTAGAAGCTCAGATAAAGAAGGAAAAGATCATCATCACCCAGGCCACAGGAAGGGAAAAGCATGCCATGCATTTCTGGAAACTGAAAAGATGAGCAGGAAGGGCAGTGGTCCAATTGGCAGCTGTTGGAAAGGTGAATGGTGCACTGTGGGAACAGTGTTGAGGTGCTGCCAAAACCAACCAGAGAACTACAATATGCCTACTAAGAAGAACGCAAAGCAGGAGCTAGAAGAGATGTTTGCGTACCATGCACACATCACTCACAGTAGCCCAAAGGTGGAGACAGCCCACGTGTCCACTGACAGAATGGATAAACAGGACAGGGCCCACACATCCAGTGAGTCCAGTGAGATAGGCTCAGCCCTCGGAGCAGGGGATTCTGACACATGTTGCAGCAGGACGAACCCACCCTGAGGACACTTCACTAAGGGAAGAATGCCAGACTCCAGAGAACAGATGTTATTCTACTTAAATGCGCTGCCTATAATAGCCAAGTTTGCAGATGCAGGAAGCAGCATGGAGATTAAATGAGGTGCTGAGAGTTGTCAAGTTCAAGGAGATGGTAAGTGGAGTGGTAGCTCCCCTGGGCTGAAAGGAGGAGAAGAATGGAAGTCATGAGCTGATGAGTTGATGAGTATAAAGTTGCAATCTGGGAGATAAAGTTCCAGAGATGTGTGGTGAAGACTGAAAATAATGTGAGCATACTTTTTGCTCCTGAACTGTTGCTAAAAAGTTAAAAACTTAAAGATGTATTCTTATTAAATATAATTTATCACAATAAAAAAGTCATGCTGAATGAAAGAAGTGCTTGGGAAATGATGTGTATCATTCCATTCACATAAAATAGGCACTAACTCATAGTCACAAAAAGCTTACCAGTAGTCACCTGGAGCTGGCAGGGGAGGGCTGGCTGCTAAGGGGCACAGGAGTTCC